TTTGGATCCATTGGGATTGTGTACAATGGGAGTGGATGGGAAGGAGTGTCTCCCTCAAGAATCATGACAGCAAACAGGTAAAGTTGTCAAAGTTTTAGCATACCATTGTACTACTCCCTCATTAGAGACAGACGACTGGTGATGAGTTTAAAGCTGAGGATCTCCCTTGAGGGGAAAGGTTGAGAAGGAGAGTCCTTCATGGTAACCTCAGTTGGCTTAGCAATGGATCCCACAACGTCACCCTACATTGCAAGCCAGCTGTCCAACCAACTCAGCCAACCTCATAGTGCGATTTCTGGGGCCTTGCTCTGCACAGATTGGCTGCAGCGATTTCCCCCCCCCGCAGCTCTCTGACACCGACTGCAGCGTCATTGGCTACAGTGCTTCGGAAATACCACTTATTGAGGAGGGATGGCGCTGGAGAAAGAAAGAAAGAGCTAAATGTTTGCTGTAGCCCCTGCCGAATGGCACGTGTGTTACAAACCTAGCTCGTTGCCTTCAGCCAGTACAAACAATCACACTGAAAGCTGGTGATTCAGTAGATCTGATTGAATCTTTATAGTGTCCCTGTGCAGATCAATCCTTAATGGGATGTTGAGGCCTAATCCTGTAGCAACAGAGTCAAAGATTCTGGATGCTTCTCTTTTTTTGAACAGCCTTCTCATTTGGTGCTGTTATGTTCCACATGCACATATGTCCCCCTGGTTCCTGCGCTCCCAATTGGAAATTATCCCATTGTTTCTTGCTCTGCCCTCCACCATCCGTTCGCATCGAGTTGTACTGGCTCTGCATTCACCGCCAACACCTTGTCGTCTTGCTGCTCTCTCGCAGTTCATCGGGACCTCCCTGCTGTTCATCCACGAGAAGAAGGGGCGGGTCAATGTCTGGATGATCGACTTTGGCAAGACGACAGGACTGCCCGAGGGCCAGACCCTCCAGCACGACCTGGCCTGGCAGGAGGGTAACCGGGAAGACGGCTACCTTCTGGGTCTCGACAACCTCCTGGCCATCTTCTCTGCCACCATGGCCAAGCATGATGGCACGGCGCAACCAAGTGGCAAGGTCTAAGAGAGGCTGCTCAGTCACCATTGGGTTGGAGGAGGGAGGGAGGAAAGACGACATCTCTTGCGTGCCGAGAGTAAAGCTCCCCCTGCACTGTGCCCCCAATCAAACTCTCCCCGGGACAGGGACAGCACAGGGTTAGATACAGAGTAAAGCTCCCTCTACACTGTCCCCCCCCATCAAACACTCCCAGGGACAGGGACAGCACGGGGTTAGATACAGAGTAAACCTCTCTCTTCTATGTCCCCATCAAACACTCCCACAACAGGACAAAAAACAGAAGTTGCTGGAAAATCTCAACAGGTCTGGCAGCATCTGTGAAGGAAAAATCAGCGTTAATATTTCGCGTCAGGTGACCCTTCCTCAGAACTCCAACAACAGGAACAGCATGGGGTTAGATACAGAGTAAAGCTCTCTCTACACTGTCCCCCATCAAACACTCCCAAGGACAGGGACAGCACGGGGCTAGATACAGAGTAAAGCCTCCTTCATAATTGAATGTACATGATCACAGAGCAGTGAGTCTCAATCTCAGAGTTGCTTTGTGAAGGGACATAACGGAGACTTTGCCTGGTGTTCAGTGGCAGTCTCCTCATTAAGCACTACAGCCACACACTGAAGTATTCGACACCACTGCAGCATACAAAGATTAATAATGTTTCTGTAGCAACGCATTGCAAACTTGCTTCGTGATTATTGACAGCTTCTGATAATTATCCAACAGCGATAAATGTTTGTGTAAAAGCTACTTCGTTTTGCATGCGTTCAGCAGAGCGGTCACCCAAGTCTGGTATGAATCCAGCAATGGATCTCCATTTGTTGAAAGCCAGTGTGAAGTGGGGAAGGAATATAGACAGACCTTGGGTAGTGAGGGAAAGAACGAGGGAAAGAACTGGTTCGCAGTGAACTATCTACTCATGAATGCCGTCAATTAGACTGCAACAGAATACTTCCTCAGCTTCAGATTGTCACTTTTCATTCAGCACTTTCAAATTATCAACACTTACGTAGATTTGTGGGGGTGAGGACGGGGAAGTGAATATTAATCTACTTGAAAAAGGGACTTCCTAAACCAGAAAACGCTTAAGGACCATTACTCCCGTGGAAGGGCCAGCACCAGAGCTGATAGGCTGAGTCGCCACTGCCACTATTCTGTTGATGATTTGATGGCTGCAGGTTAAAACACAAAGACCTGGACTTGCATTTGTTGAAGCTATTGAACTTGTTCCTGTTGACATTTCTGAATGTGATGTGTCCATGTATTCTGGGAATTAATGATCCGGGTTTAAATTTGACAGTTGGGGAATGTATTGTATAGTGTGCGGCTTCCATTTACTTTGTAGATATATTCACTTTCTCTTAAGAATTAAACAAAAAGCATGTGAACTTAGCTGAAACATGAACTGTCGTCTCTCTCCCCAGGACAAAATTTCACAATAATACTGAGTGACAGTGTGAGGGAGAGGGATTAACACCAGTACAGATACAGTTAGTAACACAGGGCGCTGCGGGGGGAGAAAGGGTTACTGAGTGACAGTGTGAGGGAGAGGGATTAACATCAGTAGGGATACAGTCAGTAACACAGGGCGCTGGGGGTGGGGGAGAGGGGTTACTGAGTGACAGTGAGAGGGAGAGGGATTAACATCAGTAGGGACACAGTCAGTAACACAGGGTGCTGACTTCTCATTTTCCCGCATTATATTCCATCTGCCTAGTTTTTACCCACTCGTTAACCTATCTATATCCTTTTGCTGACTCGGTGATCCTCAACCACTGGTCTTCCCAATTGTGTGTGCGCCACCTGTAAACATGGCTATAATACATTCATGTCCTTCATCCCAGTCTCAAATTTATATTGTAAATAACGGGCCCCAGCACTAATCCCTGTGGTACTCCACTAGGTACAGATCGTCATTCCTGAAACTGCCCCTCTTGCCAGAACATCCTTCCTCAGCTGTGGAGACCCAAAATTGCACACAAGACTGAGGCAAAGTATTTATTCAATTCCTCTGCCATTTCCTTGTTCCCCAAGATTGTTTCCCCAGCCTCATTTCAAAGGAGCCTATGTCCATTTTGTTTTCTCCCTTCTGGTTTTCCAGATGATCTTCTTCCTGAGATAATTTATTTAATTTGCCTCTTTAGACATCACTAGGTCCAAAATAGCTTGATCCCTGGTTGTTCTAGGAAACTGTCTGGAATTTCTCATTGTGTCGATATGTTCCGATCTGTGTCAGGATTAAAGTCACACCTGATTAATGTCCTGCCTTTTAGGATCGGAGTAGATTTGGGATGAAGAAGGCACATGGTGCCTGACCCTGGGACAGCTCAAAACACAAAAAGTTGGTTTGCAGGTGCGGCAAGTAATTAAGAAGGCAAATGGGATATTGTCCTTCATTGCAAGAGAGATGGAGTTTAAAAACAGGGGGGCTATGCTGCAGCTGTATAGGGTGCTGGTGAGGCCACACCTGGAGTACTGTGTTCGGTTTTGGTCTCCTTACTTGAGAAAGGACGGACTGGCACTGGAAGGGGGTGCAGAGGAGGTTCACCAAGTTGGTTCAGGAATTGAGACGGTTGGCTTATAAGGAGAGATTGAGTAGACTGGGACTGTACTCATTGGAATTTAGAATCAGGGGGTTGAGATCTTATAGAAACACATAAAATTATGCAGGGAATAGATATAAACAGGGAGGCTGTTTCCACTGGCGGGTGAAATGAGAACGAGGGGGCATAGCCTCAAAATAAGGGGGGTGGGGGGGCAGATTTAGGACTGAGCTGAGGAGGAACATCTTCACCCAAAGGGTTGTGAATCTGTGGAATTCCCTGCCCAGTGAGGCTACCTCCTTGAATGTTTTTAAGCCAAAGATATATAAGAGTTTTGAACAGTTAAGGAATTAAGGGTTGTGGTGAGCGGGAGGGTAAGTACAGCCTACTGAATGGCAGAGCAGGATCGATGGGCCAGATAAGCCTCCTCCTATTTCTGAGGTGTCTCTTACACTGGTATCCACAGTAAGCATCACAAACCCCATCGGCATTTGAAACCCGACACTGGGAAATCCAGGGACAAGAATAAACACATGGGGATGTGACTGGGACTCCACAACAGTAAGCTGATCTCACATGTTGCAGTTCCTGCTGTCGCCTGCACACAGTTTTTGAATAGGCAACGCGCACTCTGATTGTTCCACAGAACACTATAATTAAACCCATCAGCACCCCCCCCACTGCTCCTTCGTTCGCTGGAATATAAAGACTATCAAATGTCACCCACCTCCCCAGCCTGACACAGGTCCAGTACAGCTCTTACATTTTCCACATTCAGCTCTCATGTTTCTGAAACTGTACACACCTTCCCTTTCTTCCTCATTCAATTGGTCAGGTGTAAGACTCAATACTGCACAGACATGACTCAATCATACACCTACTTCCCTCACAGCTCTGAGTAAGGGGTTATAAGTTCAGGTGACACCTCAGAGACTTGGAGGGTCAGTGCTGAGGGAGCGCCGCACTGTCGGAGG